GATATATTAAAACGTAAATTTTTCATTATTCCCCGAAATATGTTCATGATTAACAGTGATGAAATTTTCGAAAAGATGAAAATTCTTAAAGAGATGTACAATTATATAGAAATCTTGACTTGTATACACAAGTCTGTCTTTCAATGTGTAATGTACAAGCATCTTATTGAAATCTTATTGCGAGAAAAGTTTTATTTCTCGGATCGGATGACGTCGATGGAATTAAATGTGCATAGCAGGTGTCGGCGCTATTACTTAACACGATATTAATTCTTTACATCACACACGAGCGATGCGACGCGTCCATATTGATATGAATTTTTCCAACGGAGTCGTTAATGTGGAATTCTATTGAATACAGGCGCCTTGACGAACCATAAACTCGTTTTCTGAAGCATAGAGGGTATGAATAATGGTTATACCGAACGTGCCGCGTATAAGAATTTGCATAACACCACCGTTGCACTACGTATGTAACGTATAACGTGCATATATAAAAAGTGTTTTCATTTACATAGGTGGGATTACACACAATTTTCTGAAACGCGGGAGAGGCAAGGAAAAATGAGGGTTTTTATTTTTCTGCTCATAGAAATTCGTTTGGGCGCTGTATATACATGTATGTTCGATCAAATCGTCTGCGATAAACACGCAAGCGAGTTTAAAAATAATGATTTATTATTTATCGTATAATTGCTACGGTTTTACTCTCATTATTATTCATAATTCGTTTTTATCATTTAAATATGTTAACAAGTTTATAAGTCACAGGTACATTTTACATAATTCACGGTTGTATTAATGTCCTTCTAATTTCGCTAATCCTTTTCTCTGTCAAAGCCGGATAAGTACTGTGGATACAGACACACATACGAGATGAATATAACGGAACAAGACGACTGTGATCTCGTCGCGATTTCTTGCCGTGTGTGTATACGATCGGACGTCTTATGCGACCGGAATTAATTAAAGCCATTCTAACATTATCTCGCATGCTTGCGGTACTTAATTGTATGCAATTATAATCTTCGTTTGTTACGCAATCGCAGACGCAATTGCTTCCTGTCGCTGCAATTCGCTTCGCTCGCCGCTGAATAATTCGTTGGTAATTCTAGTTCGCGAGCGTGGTCGTATTATTCGATCGATATATTTCGATCGATTAATTTCTTGCTTCGTAACAAGAGCGATGTACCTACAATTTCACAATTAAACGAAAATTTTGATGCGATATCAAGAGAAATAAATTTCAACATTTAAAAACTTTCCCTTCATTAAATAAATTAGCGAAAATTTTACATAATTGTTGTAACATTAAATATACGTGCGATAGTTCATTAAAAAAATAATACATAATATAAATGAAAAAATTAAGAGCCATAAAAAAATTGCAGATATAAAATAAATACAGGGTGTATCTAAATAAATGCGAAAAATTTTAGGAGATAATTCTTTGTCGAAAGATAAAGGAAGTTTCTTATATAAACAAAATATTCTTATATTCCTCCTTGAGGAGTTACACTTTTCTAAAGAGAGAGGTAAAAATTGAATGTTTATTTTTTCAAAAAATATTAATAAATATCCTTTTTATTAGTGAAAAATATCCATCAAGTTTTATTTTCCAATTTGTCTGAAATTTGAGAAAAAAAACTTAATTTTTACCTCCCTCTTTAGAAAAGTGCAACTTTATACGTCTCCTAAAATTTTGCGCACTTATTTAGGTACACTCTGTATATAACATTACACAAGACAAAAACATGTTACGTGAAAAATGTTTCCTGAGACAGAGAAATCGATCGGCTCGTTATATCAGACCCCGTACTTTAACATGCCTAATTAACGAAGTCTCTGTGCGGACGTGTCTCGTGCGCGTTCGATAATCGAAAACGGAGCCATTCGCATTTCTACGGCCAAGGTTGTTTCGGTCGTAACATGGCTCTTTAAAGACGATTCGTTTACGTTACATATAGCGATATATATATACGGTGTGCGCGAGAGCGGCGAAACGGCTGTCCATTAACGACCGGGTGACGTTTAACGAGGTGTAGCGCGCGCTTTTTTTTTCGCGCTTAACGAGCGGCGGGCCTTCGCCGATTGCGTTTATGAGAATTGCGCGCGTACGTTGCGGCATAATTCACGAAATCGACACGAGGAAACTCCCGAAATAAAACGCCGCCCGATGCAGCTGGCAACCGTAACTTTATCATCGCGGTTAATATCACAACTGGCGAGATAACTATTACAGATCGTGTTTCTCTATGCCGAATTTTCAACTGCATTTTGTTGAATTCGCGATTCACAGGATTACACAGAATGCAATATGGAATAGTAAAAGTTTAATATCCCAAAAAAAAATATGTGCGAGAGAGAAGATTTTAAAGCGATAACGTAAATTTTTAAAGAGAGAACATATGTATTTTATACGCGCGTGTTGAAGATAATAAAATTGTTTCCGTTGTTGCGAAGTTTATTCTTGTTTTATCAATTAATCTCTCATTGAAAAAATAATTTTGTCTATCTCGCGTATATTTATAAAAGAATCCCGTGGCGAAAATATTCCGCTTCGGAGAGTTAAATGTTAAATCGCGAGCGTTTGAGCGTATATTATTATCCGAGCACGCTCGTATTGCAGTGGCAATTCACTTTGATCGCGTATCGTATACACTATACACACATTATAGTCCCTTCACCGATCACACCTTCGCTTTCGATGCGCATCAGTTTCATTGACCACAGCGGCGATCAATGTTGTCTCTGTCATCCATCTACTTGTTCTTCTCATCTTCGCGCCCGTATCATTTATCCTTGCCATCACATTTAGTATGAAATTGCCTTTCCTCGTCATGCGTATTTCTTGGGTCTCGTTATTACGGTATCATTTTTGATAGGTCATCAACAGCATAATTTTTCAACTACTAAATATAAATTAATTTCATCTTTCGTCAATTTTTATTCAATATAAAGTTTCATTACGCATATAATCATTGAATTATCCTAATATTTTATTATAGCGTTTTCAAATTACGAAATGTTATTAATTAAGATTTTATTCGATTATATTATTGATGACAGATAATTTGGCATCAATTTTTCTTTTTCTTTGAACTGATGTCTGTCGGCAAATTACCTTACAATTACATAGTTTAAATTTTAATCGCGCGCGGAAGAGATGCGCAACTTCTAGAATACCCCGTATATTCGCGTACGTCAGTGCGCTCCGAGCTATTATACAATTATCGTGTTTCTCGCTCGCAGTCATGGAGCATGGCTTTTGTCGATTCGCTCGCGTCAAAGCGCGTCCGGCAAACCGAGAGAGGTATGTGTAACTCGATTCATCTCTCGGTCGGCGGCAACAGTCGGCGTCGAAACGTTGTTCCACAGGTCGAAACACATATACACAGACACACAGAGCTCGCTTATTATTATTTACGTAATGTTTACGTAACATCGCACACGTATGCCGCGCTACACATCGACAAACGCGTTGCACTCGCATCGGCGATGCATTCGTTCCGAGACTCGCGAAACTGCAACGATGCGTGATACATATAATCGCGCAGCTCTTGATTTTTCTCGCGACGTTTTTTTAGGAAATTATATTTATTCTTTTCTATCATCCTGAAAATCAATTAAAATGTAGACAATCGTAATATTTGATTAAATACTTTTTATTAATTTGTGATACTTTTTGAAGCATATTTAAATATTTCGTTTAATATGTAATTACTTAAGAGAGATGAAGATTAAAAGTTGTTTATTCATTCATAAAGTAATTCATTAAGTACTTTAGCTAGAAAAAAATGAAGATTACATCAATCATCATGAATGCAGGAAACGCATCATTCGATCTTATCCTTTCTCGCATATCTCGTACATTATTCTTATCTCGCGGATCTTTAATTTATAATGAGATACGTTTCGTAGATAATGGTGAGAAAAGAGCTGCCGTTGTTTCCACTGTATCGCGACCAGGATTTATCGTTATGAATGACGTCGTTTTTCATTCCATCTAGCGACCGAATAGTACTTAAATCCGTATCATGTCCCCCCGGCGAGCGATTACTTATCGACGTTTCTAAGACGAAATATTATTGCGTGCGGAATGGACTGGACGTGGGAGGACGGAATGATGAATAAAAATACTCCCAGAGGGAAATCGAGAAAAAGGGAGTGTATATGAGAGTGAAAAAAAAAGTTTTCGATCTCGCGATGGAGAGGACGGCCACGTCGACGCGTGAATCATTTGATCGAGAAGCCCGTGAATAACATTATACGGTCGATATATCGCACGGAGAGCTTTGCGCGTCGAAGACAACGAGTCTTTAGGGCTTGAAAGGGTGATTTAGCGAACGACGTCGATCGCGCTCCCAGGAATTATTAACGACGCGCACACTTTCGTTCTGGGTTTCCTCCTGCGTCTTTTGTGAATTCCTTTCTCCTTCGAGAAGAGGACGTCGCCGTCCTCGGAGAAGAACGATCATTTGCGTCGATCGGAAGATTTCCTCGTCCCGGGGAAAAATTGCATTAACCACCGAGCGAGAGTCCTGGTAATGTTGTCGCACGACTAGGGTGACGACGAGTTCGCTTTATCACCGAACGCTCGTAAAAAGCGCACCGTTCTGCATAAATTGCATAATGCAATTTTTTTCTATCAACGATAGTCTCCGTTGAGATCTCCGTGGAATATGGAATAATAATAAATCACATCGGTTCCTCGACGATCGTTCGAGGTTATTTTTATATCGATGGTGAATTTCATTTTTTTTGTTAATGCGGTTTTAGGTTTATATTAAACGTCGAGAGACTCACACATTTTATGTGACACTACGTAGTAACTTATTGCGACGCTCTGACGTTCGCGCTGCAACTTAAGTGAAGAAACGAGGCGTTTTTATAATTATTAGAAAATTATAAAATGTACACACAGCGTGTTCTTTTACAGCGACATTTCGCGCAAGCTAAACCTGCTATTTACGATGATATGCGTTTTTTTGTGATTGCAGGCTGAGGACCTCCTGGACGACATATTGTCGTTCGAGGCTGGCTCCTTGGGTGACGGATTGAAGGACGGCCAAGCCGGTAGTCTGACGAATATACCGGAGCTTCAAATTAAGCCGGAACCTCTCTTGCTTACGGAAGCGGAAATCCACGCTCTCGCCAAGGACCGGCAGAAAAAGGATAATCACAATATGAGTAAGTTAATAATTGACTCTTTCCCATTTTCACGATGACGTATTTATATAGTTGTGCGCGTTTCCACATTTATTAAATTAAATTTTTTATTTAACACGTGATACTAAATATCATCTCACGAAGTTAAATCTGTTATATTTTCCGCATTGATAAAATATATCCAAGCAATTAATTAAAAGTTTTCGTGTAGCTTATCAAGTTTAGTTTCGTCGAAGATACTGTTACAGATGTATCCGCGAAAGATTATCATACGCTTTTTATCTTTTATGTTCGAAAGAATTTATTCACACTCACGACTGCAAGTTACGTCATGTGACGGATTCAAAATTACGTGCTGGAATTCTATTTTGTGTCTCGGGTTAGGTGGCACGTGGCTTCTGCAATAAGGCTGACATTTTAATCTTGCCTCTTGATACAGCCGCTTTGAATATCGCTCGATCAGCAGGCTGTAAGCAAATTCTGTTTATCCGTGTAGAAATAATTGATAAGCGCCATCGTGCAATTTACACCTCAATGGTAGCAATCGGCGGTGTGTGTCACGGTGTCGTCATTGTCATCGACGTTTACTACATATTTACACTTATGCTAACACGGTCGCTCGCGACGTAAGCGGGCTATTTAAATGATAATGGAAAAATGTCGCTCGTCCTCATACACATCGGTCGCCTATTATTATCGCGAATGCAGTCAATTAAACTATCGTCTGTTGGTCATCTGTTAACAACGTAAACAACAGCAGCGAATCAAATATATGTAACCTCGCGCATTAATGGCGTAAATTTTCACGAAAATATATTTAAAGGAAATTTTGAATATTTTAAAATTATTTTTGACACGAATCGAATAATATTCCGAGTATATAGTATAGTCAGAATTTGGTTATTTCAGTAATAATCGTGCTGATATTTTTTTCATTTATTATGCAATCTCTTATAGGTTTCCCCAAATTTAATGATCGCATTACATCTAACAATAAGTCTTTGAAATGAATATTAAATTACAACCCACAAATGCATTTGTTAAATAACTTACTCTATTCAATAAATGCGCAAGTGCACTTGTGTGATGCAAAAACTTCGCGATCGATTTTCTATTGTTGAAAATCGATTAGAAATTCTGCTGCGGGGAGATTCTCATTAAGATGACGAAATGGATTAGTCTTCGCGTGTGAGAGAAGCGAATAAACAATTTTCGGGCGACGATATTCGAACAATGGGCACGCTTTTGTTAGGCGCCGCTTTCTGTTTTACTATGCACTCTGTGTTGCGCGGCGAATCGTGCGCATTTGTGCTCGTGTGATTCGCGACAATCCCGTGAATTTGACCGAGTAATCAGTGAGCTTCAATTATCTCGGCTCGCGCGCTTTCCACCGCGGTGCAATAAAACTTGGTTACGTATGCGTGGATTTTTATGAATTTCCGCGCGCGGACATGTGCACGTATTTGTGAAATACGTTTCATTACATCCTGATTTGTAAATGCAATTTCGAAAATAAGGCAAGCCCGATGCACAGTTAAGCGAATTCTCGTGTCTCGTTCACAAAAATGTACAGACGCGTAAAAGTGTATTCGTATATGCATATAATGATATATGTAAAATAATATTATTCATTTAATTATAATATAACAGAGTTCCGTTTAATCTGAAACTCGAATGATTTGATTGCATGATATACGCAATAACGCGCCGTTCCTTCCGCGACTTTACTTGATTCTCGTGATTAAAGCATCGGTAAAATTGCAAAAAATGGCACGATGCTCGCGAAGTGAAACAAGCGGAAATCGGGAACGGACTATGCATTGGGAAGAATTGGAGCATCCAATTTTCCGAAAACAATCACGGGCATAATGAAAGGCCGCTGGATACGAAAGAGAATCGAATTTGTAAAAGAGAATAGTGGAAATAACGGCCGTGAATTACACGGAAATATAGGAAATAAAGTAGGAAATCTGTAAAAATAGTCGCGCGTCCTAATTCGCTTCTTCTTTGTCTCGCCACTTATTGACTATACTATTGTGCATCTCCGCATTGGTGCATTATCGATTGCACAGCGTTCTCTACGTGCGAGAGATGAAAGAGGTGTGCTTATCGGAATTGCGACTTGTCTCTTTATGCGCTTTTATCGATTTGCATGCAACGCGAGTCTATTTGCGAAACGCGTCTTCCTTTCCCCTAATTTGTTCAATCCTCTTAATTACGTTTTCTTCTCATTTATTCAGGAAATGTAGTCAAACGAACCGTGTCTCTCATTTTATGCTTTACATTTTACAGTTTGCAAATCTTTTGGCGAATTATATTAAGAGATAAAATTTTTTTCGCGAAAAAATAATTAGTAGACGTATAAAAAAAATCCTGTGAGATGCGCGTGAAATTATTCGGAAATTCCTGATTTTCAACATGAAAAGCAAATGATTTCTCCCGGTACATTTCTTCGTTTGTATTGCGAATTGGGGGTTAAAGGGCAATTTCGCATTCCGTTTCGTTGAGGAACCCCGAAGCCAGGTCGATGAAACGCTTCTCCCTAATCTTCGTATCTCGGATAATTTCTTCCCACCGGAAACCGGGGTTTGCTGATTGATGAGACTCGTCGTCGTCGATTAGGAAGGCGTGCCTCTTGATTCCAAGCGAAAAGCATAGGTTCGCGCATCTTCTCGACAGAATCGGGTAGCTTAGATCTCCGTCGTTTGTCCTCCCCCATCTTCATCGACTTTCCAGCCTGTACCTCACTCTCTACTCTAAATTAACCATCGTAATCTAATCAGCGAGATCAGAGGAAGTTTCTTCCCTCCCTTCCCGTCTACGTCCGTCTATATCCGTCTCTCTCTTCTTCATCGTTCCTTCGCTCTCTCCCGAGGCGAATCGAGTTCGAGAAAGGAAGTTACTTCCTCAAAGTTTTCAAGGCTGCTCTTTCGTCTTCTCGCGCGTGCGACATCTCCTCGATCGTATCTCATCTTTTATTGCCTTTATAGCCGTTCTATCGCGCTGTTTACAAATATTTGTCTCTACAATATGAATCAGCAATTTGCAGAATTTCGTTTGGCATGACGTAGCCTTGTGATGCACTTTGAAGTGTTTCAGAAGTGATGTAGATCTTATTTATAACCGATTTTCCTTCGACTAGATTTGACTTTTACGAAATCAGAGTATTCTCTCGCACGTTGAAAATTTTATTTTTACAAAAAAACTCTTCCAATGCAGCTCTTTCTTTTTTGTTTTAAACATTGAAATTTAGTTTCAACAATTTCCAGTTTTTTATAAATTGTTGAAATGAAAAATTTTTTATATACATTATTATTTCAATTTTATTTTGTTTCCTAAAAATATATTTTATTTCTGGATGAAGAAACAAAGAAAATAAATATTATAAGCTTATATTAAAGAATTCTTTGTTCATTTTTTTAATATATATCGTTAACAATAAAGAAGCTGATTAATTTTATCAAGTTTATTATGCCGTAAATTCCTATATCCGATTTACACGCGATTTTTATCATGTCAAAAGTCAATCAATAATGATAAAGACAGATGTTATCGACATATCTAAACAGACCAAAAGAGTGAAAGAAAACATTAATTATATTTGCTCTGTATCTGTTATATCTTTACCCATTAATGTCGATATAATATTCCGCTACTCCACTAATTGTGGTGAACGGAGTAATTGGAGTATTGTGTCTGAGACATGGGCATTTTGATGAATTTATTTTTCCGATGGCGGGTTATCATCGACGCGATCGCGATATCGGAGACGCGCGCGAAGGATAGGGAATCAAGCCTGATCTCTTTGTTGAAGAGATACCTGGCCAGAATAATCGATCGAGTACGGGGTCATGTGCCAACGATAGGGTGATTTGGTTCGCGGTCTTTTTCGTAGGAGATACGCTATATCCTCCGGAAAGCGCGATATGCTTTCCCGCCCAATAACTTCGATACGAGACGACGATATGGAAGACGGTTTCGACCCTTCGCGATTCGCACGTTCGAGACGATATAGTTTATTGGGATCGAACGATCGAGGGATATCACGTTTTCTCCCAATCGCGTCAAGTAGTTGTAACCTTAAGAAAGATAACAGCCCGCGAGCGTAGCTGAATGTAGACTGTAGACGATTGAGCGTCTAAGGAAACATAGATGAATAATATATATGTATTTTTTTACCTTTTTTTCCTCTCTCAGAAATATTAACGAAAAAAGGGGAGAAATATTGATCATCCGACGTGAAAAAATTGTATTATTTCAAAGATAATACAAGAATCCAGATCAGATTTATATTTCCACACGTGAAGATTGCGAACAGATTTTTCAATATTTGACGTTATCTTTGGAAAATATAGTATTATAAAAAATAATTTTCAAGTACAAAAAAATTCTTGATTAACGATTAGCATTAATTTAAATCAAATGGAAACACTTTTTTGTTCTATTTCTTCCAAGTAACCATATAACTACAGTAAGATTAACTCTTTGATAATTATAAAGATGAGAGAGAGAAAGAGAGAGAGAAAAGAACTCTCTTTTCACAGACGCGTCGGAAGATGCGAAACGAACCGTTTTCGATTATAGCGGGCGAATTAACAAACGGCGCGATCTATCTATCGCATCTGTCGCGAGAGCGAGCCATGATTGATGTGCACAATTTCCGTTTTCAGTCGAGCGACGGCGGCGCTTCAACATCAACGACAGGATCAAGGAGCTCGGCACCCTCCTGCCCAAAACCAATGACCCGTGAGTACGAATTTCTTTTCTTCCGTTTCTTCTCTCTCTCTCTCTTTCCTTTGCTTCCTTCCTTGTTCTCGCGCCAATCCCTCTCTCACTCTTCGCAGTTTTCTTATTCTCCACCTTACCCTTTGCACATTCCCCATGGACCATTATTTCCTGCTCGTGACCCTTTACGACGAGTTAGTCCAGGTCAGGTGCTCGAGACGAGAGGCTTCACCGGAAGTCCATTCTTCGCTCCTCCTCGCTTTCCTTCCTCTCACGCTGGCTCTTCACGGCCGCTTGCTCTTCCTTCCTCTATCTCGGCTTTGTTTCCCGTCCTTCCTGCCGTCAAAGCGCAACACTTCCTTCGACCCGGTGAATGAAGGTAAATGCGAAGGAAAAATAACGCCACGAATCGGAAATACGGGGAGGAAGAGATTGGAAAGGAGAGACGAGTTTGCTTACATCGCGCACATTTTATCGTATCTTTTACCACCCTTGCATATTCTGTCCCGCGTTTCAGATCAATTAATTTAATAACATTAATTTTTTTCGCAACACACCCTTTATGTCTTTACGTAATTTTTTAGAAAATTTCTCAGTTTATATTTTGATACTTAGATTCAGGAAACGTAATTAAAAAGTTTTAGATATATATGTATACATGCCCTACAAAATTATATTAGTTTTATAAAATCATTCTATTTCGAAGCGTCTTTGTATAATAAATTGCATAAATCTATTTGATATCGAGGACATAAGTTATATAATTTGAATAGATGATTTTAATAAAATTAAAAAAATTAATAATCATTATATTACGTAACTGAAATATTTTAACTTTTTTATATTGAAATAGCGCGATAAAAGATAAGACTCAATATATGGTTATTCAATGTGCTTAATTATCCACCGTTACACCAGACTAGCGTCGTAAAAAGTCTTATCTATACCGCTCGATATTTATGTTTAGAGCCATTTATACAGCTGTAAAAACTTTTGTCTGTTAACTTAGTAACACACATTTATTAGTAACACACTTTGCTTGCTTTTAATTAATTTTTAGATTATGATATCAGTTATAATACAATACAATCGATAAATGGAGTTTATAATTCAAATTATTCTTAAGTAAATTTAATCGGTAATCCCTGAAAATTTTTGTTTCATTGATGCTACTAAATTAAAAATGAATTTCAAACAGAAGAACGTATATACATAACACGATGCGAATTATTTCGAGTAAATATTTCTCAATTATATATAATATGATTATATATATTCAATTATATATTTCGTGTAACATGTCGCTTACGGAAATGAAACGTTTGTCTTCTTTGCTATTATTTTTCTCGAATCTCGATGACACGCGCTTCGCGTCTGACCTGTTTCGGCTGTGATCCCTGACACAAATCTTCGACGCCGAGACTTCTTCGACACGACGATGTACGTACGTAATGAACGATCCTTTTGCATAGAATAGCCGAACAAGTTCGTCGTTCATTTATCAGTCCGACGATCGACCCATTTATCTGTGTCAACATCCGGCGAACTTAAAAACTCCCTCTTTCGTGTTCGACGTCCTCTTTTCTCATGCGCGTTTCTTTGAATAACGATCCTCGAAAAACCACGGAAAAACCCGAACGAATTAGGGTCGCAACCGCCGATGATAAGAAGATCCTGTGCGACGAATGTAAATAAATTCATCTGAATTTCTCAACTAACAATAAATAAAATATCGAGAAGGACTTGATATTACTTTATTTTAGAATAATTAGCTGTATCATGATCTATAGCTTCAATTTTTTGCTATGATTTCTAGTTTAGGATATCGAGATGAAACTGAATTTTATCGAGAGAAGAATCCTTCAGCTTAAAATCATTCTCGATGCACTTTAGTCGCGACAACAATTTTCAACATATCGCTCGAGTCTTCTGATAGAAGCGGATATGTCGCGAAGCGAGCACAACGCGTTTATCGTTCATAATTATTGATTTACGGCATCATAATTTATGTTATCTGCACTCGATGAAGGAGAAGCGTGCAGGCGGGCGTGCATTCTTTATCTGCCGTCATATTCCCGTCATATTTTTCGACACGTCACCGATAGACGCGATAACGAGAGCACGCCTGGGATTAATGTGTTCCACGTCTCGAATTTCACCCTCCTATATATCCCTCCCCAATATTTGAAGCTGACGAGATGAGAGTTGAATTAATGCGGCTTTACGCCAATCGTGTTTGTCAGTTTGCGATAATTTATATATCTCTAGGATTGGATTTTAAATTTCTCGATCGATCTTCCGGTGTATCTCGCGCGCGACAATATCCAGTCCACGCATCTATTATATATGTGCATTAGTATATACACATGTCCTCGATTCGCAGCTCCTCTTATCTAATGACGCTTATTTCATCGATAAGACAACAGCCGTAAATACGCGATAACGCTTCGCGCTCGCTCTCTATCGCGAATGATAAAAAAACGGAATTGTCAACCGTTATAGGGTTCTCATATTGTACAACTTTCTTTATGAAGATGGATTTGCTTCACTCATAGACGATTTGATATGAATCGGCCGTAATCTTAGATAAATATGTTTAACTTGAAAAGATAATATAAATAAATATTTTAACGATTTTTAAAATCATAAGACCAACACAGTATAAATGAGATCTGTTTTAATTAAAATTTGCAATTACTTAGTTTGTCATAATTTGTATAAAATATGATGCAATCAAATTAATTTTTCTTTCTCCCTCTATCTCTTTCATATATAATAAATTAATATACATATTTTTATTGAAAATATTAAATTTTATATTATTTACATGAGAAAAGCAGATGTATTTTTGTGAGATGATGCAAAAATAACTGAAATAATTTAGTCGAGATTGTTAACAAAAATCTGCTATTCGCGAGGCGTGCTTAATAAGAGAACGAGAGTAATGATTCGTATTGCGGGCGTCTCGGCATGTTCTACCACTGTCTTTCTCCTTCAGGGTTTCAGTTTCAGCTTTGGTCGAGAAGGATATCAAGGGAGACGCGAGTAAACTCGGCGCGATAGCGCGCCAGTGATAACGAAGTACAGTTCGGGTTCTAAAGACACCGGCAAACACGACACAGATTTCTCCCTGTTCCTTCCTTCGTTTTCGCTCGGGTGTCCTCGTTTGTTTCGCTCGAGTTTCGGTGAATCGTCCTTACGAAACATCCCGAATCCCTCTTCATTCGTCTTCTCCTTACGTCGTTGCTCATTAGCGATGGAGAAACCCGTCGATGCACGGTTCTCTGTTTATTGTTTGCCGTACTAACTTGTTTCCGAGGCGCGTACAAGTACGAAAATGGTGCGCGAGCCCCGAAATATGCCACGACGCGTTTTCGTCGAAGGCGCGGAATGTTCAATAATTCGGACTCGCATACTCTTGTTAATTATAACAATATTAGATCTCGATATAAGAATTTCAGTTTTTTGCATGAATGTAGTATTGTAAATAGTTCTTTAACTATCTATTTTAAATAAAATGGCCCGCATTTCATTACACGCGCATTTAATTAAATATTTGAAATATTCGAAGTAAGATATAAAGACCGCATTTACGCGAAATAAAATTTAAATAGTGCTAAATTCAAAACATGCAAAACTTGCGTACCTATATATTTTTCGTATTAAAAAAAAATTTCTCAATTAGAAGATGATTGGATTATACAAAGGGCTGATTATAATTCGGCAGTGAAAGTAAACGCTATTGTGTTTTGCTGAAAATATATTGATCCGCGAGAGTGAACTTGGCGAAACTCTCGCATTTGAATCCTCAAACTCTGTATGCAATTCGGCAACCGCGAAAAAAAACCATACACTTTCTCCCTTAACGTTGAGAATGAATAAAACACAGAACTCGATGCGGTAGGCGCATTTGCGGAAACGCAGGTTGCGAGGCTCGGTTTGAAGTACGCGAACCCGCATAGCCGCAAATTCGCTCGTTGCGAAGTTGTTGCTGCGGGAACATGACGACGCGCCTCTTTCTCCATTTCTCTCCTTTTCTCTCGCTCGGAAAAGTGATGCTTTATGCGATGTTCCGGCGGTTGTTTGGCTTCCGAGTTTGCTCGGCGGGCGCAAAATCTCGCGAGTCATGCAACGGCGCGCCCATTCGCGATCCGCGATCGCGCGTGAATTTAATTACAGTTTTGTCGAGGCAATGTAAATTATTAGTCGCATCGCCAGAGTGTTCGCGCCGTTACAAGAAACGCGAAACTATTTTGTTGCGGGACGTAAAACAGTAGATAATTATTAATTGTTTGTTTACTCTGTTTTGTTACACTTATTATTGTGCATCCTCCGGAATTTACAAGTGTACATTTTTCAATTGCATAATTTTGCTATACAGATTAACAGACATTATCGCTCCATATATTTGTTCTCTTTTATTTCCGCGAAATTAATCTTGAGAAAATTGTTTCGCAAGGTTTTTCGCGACCGTAAATATCGGCGATCTCAAACATATATTTCGATCACGAGCGACGACAGGCGAAATTAAGGATGTGACAGATGCATGACGTGATGCAGCCGACGTCTTTCGATCCTTCCTTCGGTATCCCTGCGGGATAAGATCCGGTGGATTATGTTTTCTCGAAGGACCATTCGCGCAAAGGACAGTTCACGGAGGGATGAATATGTCGCCCGGACATGACGAATGCCATCTCATAATAAGCTTTCCATTCGCCATCGCTCCTCCTCCGCCTGGACGGCGGCAGCCTCGCGATTTTGCGGACGATAAATCGACGGAACGATTCCGTCGTAAATCAACGACGGCGCGACGCGAGAGAGAGAAAAAAACGCGCGTGAATAACGACGAAAATCCGTGAGTGTTGTTCGCGAGTTCCGCGCGAGAATATTTAAATCGCGAAGATGAAACTCCTCTCTCGTCCGCTATGGAAAATTTCACATCGGTCTCGCGTCGCGCTTAAAAGTTCCTGATCCTTCAAAACAAAATACCTTGTGCGTTTGTGGGGAGAAGAAACTGATGAAATAAGCGAGCTGTCAATATCAATGTCAGAGAAATGTGATTAATGACATATCGCGAAAGAATGTCTGTGTAAAAAGTAGCGCAATCTAGTTTTTTTTTCGTTTTTTAAAAACGCTGTTATTCGATTGCAAATATCGATTTGTTATCATGCGAATTATATAGTTTGTGGAAATATAATGCCTATATCTTATCAGCTATTGCTGATTTGAACGTGCGAGTGATTGATCTTCCAATAACGTTGTGCTGCTTCCAAGAAGTAAAATATATGCTATTTACATTTGTATTACATACAATGTAGTATATTTTTATTTGCTTGTAGATATACTTCATGATAAGTCGCATTAATGTCGAATGAAAAAAAATGAAGAAAAAAAACGGAAAGTCACTCTTGATGCTGACCAATAAATTGTCACGTAATTCTAAAAGAAAAAAAAAAAGAAAAATCGCGCTTTCTCTAGGAATCTCGAATTTTTCTTGTCCTTGCAGTCTCATTCCCGAGCCGCTTGGCAGGCATTCTTCGCACTGGCGTTGCGAAATTGTCCGCGCTGGATCATCGCAAATGTTTCTGGCGAGTAAGCAGATACCTCCAAGAGATGCTATCTCTCGTCTCCGCGTTACGCGTCCTCATGAATTTTTCGAGAGCGTCGCCGTGCTGGAAATTCTCCGGACTCTTAACGACAAATCGCCTCCGCGAAGGACACGCGGAGAAATTTTGGACGGACGCGAACGCGTGTTATGGAAATTCTTTAGAATTTTCGTTGCCTACGTCTCGTCTCGAGTTCTCTGATATTACGCGCGAATTCTCGCGCGGAATTCCATCTTGAGGTGGCCCTCGAAACGTCGTCGTCGTAGTCGATGATGGGCGGCGGCGACGCTACTCGGTAATATCGGTCGTATGACGGTCGAATGAGGAATTTCAAGAATTTCCCGCGAAACACCCCGACTCGAACGTGCTCTCAGTGAAATAATCGTGTGATAAAGTTTCAAAGAGCAGCCTGGCGCCCTCTCTTCGGCTCTCCTTTCTTCTTCATCTTTTTATTGTCTTTTAGAAAAATTGAGAAATTGAATACACAATCATAAAGAATCATATAATCACATTATTAGCATCGCTGATGAGCTTAATGTAAAAAATTGACAATTGCAAAAAAAAAAAAAAAAAGTTTACTTTTAGTATTTTAAATATGTAAAATTATATGCTGGCGCTTATATGCGTTTTAAAAATCTGTATAAATATTACAGCAGTTGAAGTACGATGTAAATATAAATGTTGGGCTTTTTCGCACTTCTGTTACAGATATTACGAAATCGTCAGGGATGTCAGACCGAACAAGGGTACGATCCTGAAATCCTCGGTGGAGTACATAAAATTGCTGAAGAACGAGATCATGAGGATGAAACAGAATGAGCACAAGCACAAGCAGCTCGAGCATCAGAATCGACGATTGCAGTTGCGCGTGCAGGAACTCGAATTGCAAGCGAAGGCGCACGGACTTCCGGTTTCCGACTTCACCTGGGCGTCCACCTCTGCCATGCTCAACACCTTCCCGAGGAGTAAGCTGGAACAACGAAAGGTAAGTGGAAACGTCTTATCCCGATCCTGGGGTTCGTATCTCGTTAAATCCACTTCCTCGATAATCATCATGCGATGATCTCACATCTATCATATCGGCCTTTGTGTGTTTTACCTTCCATATAATTTCATAACAATTCGTATTTGCACGTGATTTTAATTCTTGCTCACCATCCTCGCTTTTTTAACAATAAAAATATATACTAGCATTTTTATTCAGTCGAAAAGTATAATATTTCATATTACATGCAATATGCATTTTTGAAGCTGCAGTAGGTATACATATATATATATATAATTTTTATCTTTATAAAAATTATTATTGCGTTACTTATGCATTTATAACGACAATTTAATAATTGATTGCTCGAGTAAATGATTATTACTCTCGATAATCGACGATATCCGAATGATATCGTTAATTTCGATCGGTGGTGTATTAGTGAATGCGGTGTGTCGTAACGACGACTCATTTAATCTCAATACACTGCAGCCGCACGGTCGGTTTTCGAGGCTGTAACGATCCGCGGCATCGATATATAACGATCGATACCCATGATCCTTGATCCGAATAAACCTTCTACTCGTTCGCCAGACTAGTTTCATAACGCATGCATCTGTTCCGACGAACGGAGGCAAATAGCTGTTTGCTCGATCGTTCATTCGTTCGCGAGAGAGTATAACGTGATGTCGTGTGTCTTCTATACGTCTCTCCGTTTATATGTATATGTATATCAATACCTCTCATATATACATATTTATATATATACGCACGAGAACGGTAAAGCCGTCTTTTGACAGCGCCGTCTTTAGAACGGAGTGTAACGGCTGTTTTATTACGCAATTGAGACCGATCTGAAGCCGTGTCTTGCATAACGACGAGAGAAATGTTCTTCTCATTTACGTATAATTAACGCATCGATCTTCGTCGCGCCTCGGGCGATCTTTCGGTATCGAGATCACATTGTTCGAGATCGCGATGGAATTTGCCAACATCTCCCACGAAATGTTCGTTTTAACACTCGAACAAGCCCGGCACTGACAAAAAGAGCATCTTCTGGGATTATGCAAATTTTACACTATACCGACTGTGAAAATTACAGCAGTTTGCCGAGAAGAAAGATTTTTACAACATAATTAAAATAAATTTTAATTATTTTATTCTCTCTATAATTATGATATAATTATTGTGAATATTATAATTTTTGTCGGGAAAAAATAGGATGGATTATTTCTCGCTTCGTTATTATTAATCTTGATACAGCGTAGCACCGGCTGACTTTCCGCCTGATAATTCTTCATCGGCAGCGGATTATTGCCCCGAATAATGAACTGCCCGGCTTATCGGCCTGGTGCGAATCGCTCTCGTTCGTTTTGCTCTCTCCTTCCCCATGTTTTACGATTTTGCTTTTAAATTTTCGCTGCGAGGGAGCGGGAATCTCTTCGAGAGATAACCCTCGTCATCGTTGTCCTTGCTCTTTAAGGCTCTATAAGATGACGGCAAAAGTTATGATTTACTGGACCCGATAAAGTTTTGCATACGAGGCACAGTTTTTCGTGATGCGATTAAGAGCTCTCAAAGTGTCGATAAAACGACACATGCCGCCTCCGTGACGACATATCTAGGCCTTTTAAGGGGACCACGTCAACGTTGAGGAATCAGCCAAAAAAGAGGAAAATAATCAGAGGTGGCTCTTATTAATCTTCTCGCATTACGCTCGCGTCGACAACGACGTGACTAATGTCCGCTTACACTTGCAAAATTTTCACGAATTTGAAACATTAAGAATGACAGTATATATATACTCGTATGTGTATTGTATGCAAAAATTAGAGAAGTAATTATTTCCAGTGAAATATATTGTTAGCGCGATTGATCTCGTTATAAAAATTCTTGAATAAACGTCTCGAATAATTTATGATATATACTGAAAAAAATGGTTAACTTGACTAAACCTTTCAATTAAATTGTTATTTTGTTACTTGAACCTATATTAGTATTTAAGTCAAATATACATTTTGTTAAATTTAATATGTTATATTTAATTTAAATATTTTTATATGTTATTCAATTAACAAAATAGATAATATTTAGTTGGTAAGGTTTAGTCGAGTTAAAAAATTTTTTTTCAGAGTAGAAAAGCCATATCTGACATTTCTTCTGTTTCTTCTTTTTTATATCTCTCTTCTAATTAAATCCGATATTATATTCCGAGCTTAGACAAACTTATTTGTTTGTCACGATGGCGCGACGATGACTGCACGATTGTTAGATTGACGTTAATTTACTATTCGCTCGATTTCGTCGCGTTTTCGGAAACATTCACAGTTGCTGCGACGCGCGAGATAACGAAAAGAGACGCGATATGACGTACCGAGAGAGGGATGAGTTGAATTATTGTTCGAGATAAAGTTCCACCGGGGGAGCGTAAGTAGTCTGACAAGCAGCTTCCTCGCGGTTAGAGAAATTTAAACATTGATAATGTCCCGCTCCTCGCGCGATTCGAATTCCGAGACCGAGGCGAGCAAAATGTCTCGCGCGCATTGCACAAGAAATTTTACTGCGACACTTAACCGTCGGTTTGCTTAACGTTAATTTCGTTCCTCAATTTACCTTGCGCGAAACGTAAACGGTCTCGTGTCACAAGTGTGTCCCAGATAACGATAAATTATTTTCAGAAAAAAATAGGGTAAGAATATCCACAGAGAAAGAGAGAGAGAGAGAACGGCGCTCCCTTTTGCTCTGTTATCAAAATATGTACGGAATTTTCGCCAATGATCGTCTCTAGAGATTAATTTGCTAATGCTGCAGTTTATCTATAATATAATTTATCCGATTCGTCACGTTTGCTTACGTGATCTTCATCTATACATATCAATGATTACATTACCAGGATAATTTATTCGATTAAATTAAGTCAAGATTTTCAGAACGGCGGAGAGCAAAATTATTATCATTCGAAGAGAGAGAAATAATTCGCTACTTGCGCAACGCTCGTTCCGAGATATTGCATAATTGCGAACGTAATTGTACTTCTTTAAAATCCATGCAAACGCGCCTGAATGTCGTGCAAAATATTTACCTTCTCTACCGGCCGTTGTTGTGCGTACGTCTGCAGAGAGCGTAAGAGTCCTTATCAACCCGTCTGTATTCTTATCGTACAGGCTACCTCACGCGAGACTTATACACCTTTTATCTCGCATCGCTCGGCGTGCATTTTCGCGAGAGGAATACGTAGCCGAACCATCGCGTCGGGACAAAGGATAATCGCCGAATGAGTCGTAACGTCAGAAACACCGCGTTGCGCAACCACGAGCCATTTTTTTTCATGCAAATTTAACGCGCCTTCTCCGCGAGCGCGCGCGGTTATGTAAAAAGCGCATGCGATATCGTTTCGCGGAATATCGTATGAAGTATGAAATCGTATACGACCGCGAAAAAAATGCGTCGCGACTGAATAAGATCATCTTTATTGTTGAAACAGATAATCGGCGCAATTTACAATTTTCCTTTCTAGCTTGCAAAATCATATTCCAATTATATTTATTGACAAGAGTCCGACTTTAGTAGAGATATATCGTAAAACGTATTTGCGGTTTTCGAACAACTTCATCTGTTGTCTCTTCGACGTCTCGAGACATCTCGTGTAAACGCGAATAAAAATTTCCGTCAAACGCAAATTTCACACAATAAATTTGGCCGTGACGAAAACCGACGATCTAATCCGATGAATTAGTCGCATCGGTAATATAACGACAAGTAAATTGGATCCACGGTCGTTTGCGTCTGGAAACGCGATTGGAAATTAATTCCGGTTCTGGTAAGCCGATCCGTCTGTGACTTTACAAAGTTATCAACTGCATCTGGCAGAGAAACAGTTTCAATCAGCTTACTTCGATACGTGTATATTGCGATAGCGTGGACGTTTAAATCCCGAATAACGTCGGGGTATTTAATTTTCCGAATCGTTTCCGAATTGATAGATTTTAATTCGTTTTTCACTTTTCAATTTTAATGCTTTCTACATATTGAGAAGACTTTATCATATCTGATAACCGACTTTATCATTTGTTATTCCGCATTATTGACAATATTTTTAAAGACCAATTTCTGAATTAAGAAATTCATTTCTGACGAGCCAAGATTTAATTTTTGAATAGTCTCATAAAAAAACCTAGCCGAAGACTAAAACTTTTTCAGCTAATACTTATTGTACAGCTTTTGACTGCTGCTCTAATTTAACTGTTAATTTCGCTACAAAACTTATCATGTATATCCTATCGCATGTGCAATATACATAAATAACAGTAAACATTCGATATTACATGCACATAACCCGCTTTCCCGCATCGCGCATCATTAACCGAAGTGATGGACAAGCTCGAACATACAATATAAGCACATATCCATGCACTTCTGCTTTAAAGAAGATTGCACGAACGCATCCAGTCCTACTCCTTCACCGAAGATCAATCAGGCATCTCCATTTTTGTCATGAATGAGAGGAAGAGAAAGGATCCAGCATACATACATCCATTTCCAGCTTCATAAAAGATTTCGCATGAAAAAACACCTCCTCCTCACGTCGCATCCCATCTTCACGTTCGACGTTCGAGTTCGCGCTTCGAGGGCGGCTCGTTTTACAGGATGCCGAATACTTTTCTGCCGTAGATACCGGATCTGTCGGTGACGGAGGATGCGACGAGCCTGAGCATGTCCCAGCTCGAGGACCTCATGGAGGACGACACCGGCGGTCCCGTTCACGGCGGCGACCCGATGCTGTCGTCGCCGCATCTGCCACCATTGAGCCCACCTGCGGCTGCCTGTCACCACGGTTTAACCGACGAGGACACCCTCGGCAGTCTGGCGGTGACCACGTCGAATTCCTCCTCCGACATGGACATTGTCGCGTAGCGTCGAAAACCGCTGTCGTCCGTCAGCTGAGCGTGTGATCGGAGTCGAACCCCAAAACTCTCATCGACGTGGAATTTCCCGTTCGGCCTTTGACCGAGATGATTAATTTACATTTGCGCGAAAGAGAGAAATATATATAGATAGAGAGAGTATGTGTGTGTGTGTGTGTGTGCTGGAAAAGGAATGCTGTTTTGGTGTATGTGTGACGTGGGACTTGAAGGCAGAGAGCTGCTGCGACATCGTAGATCTTCATCGTGGAAGAACGGGAAGGGAATTCGCGCGACGTCAATTGGATTTTATTGGAGAGACCGCGCACTGATGCGAATTTATCTAAAACTAGTCATCGATTCGAGAGGATCTTATATACTTTGGAAGATTGGCAAAGGAAATGAAGAAGTATACGCATACGCGGATTAGCTGTTGCTTGCCATAGAGAAGCCTGAAAGAGATTGTTCTGAAAATTTCAATCGAATTTGCACTGAAGAATATTATACTTGAGAAAACAGTTATTCACAGTAAAAAATATCGATATTTTTCTTAAACGAAATCCCGACTATTTGATTAAATATAAACGAAGCTAATTACATATGTATAGATGAATTTTTTCTGCAAGATGGAAAGACATAATTGGAGTTTTTTCATAGAAATATATTCATCGGACTTCCCAGATGCTGCCAATTATCTTACCAATTATTTTCATAATTATCAAGACATATCCAGCGATTGCAATAGTCTTATCTAATATGCCATTAATGACTAGTTGATCGTTTTCTGATTAACTGTGGATAGCAAGAACACTTTCCAAGACCCTTTCAAAACCTGGGAGATCATCGAGAGGATCGTGGAGAAAATGATCGTGACAAGGACGTGTCAAACTCGCGTTACGCGTCCTTGGAGATCCAGTCCGCGGATCGGATGGAAATTTTTCGGGTCGATGACGAGAGAACCTCAAGAAGCGATCGGGCGTTTTCGAGCTGGCCGGGATCTTTCCAAGTGGCGGTGAAAGTCGTTATCGCCGGACGATGGAGGAGTTCAGGGTCGTTCCAATTGCGAAGAGGAACGGAGGGCTCGTTGTCACGATTCTACGAACGGCTGGCCGTTACACTAATGGAATGCGTGATGTCTTACGTGCGTTGTATGTTATGTCAGTGCACTCGAAGGACGCGCTCCTGTCGCGCTTAAAACGAGCCTAAACGTTCGCTATCGTCGCATCGAGGACGATATGTCGTCAGATGCGCATCAGCGATGTGCATATTGTATTTTGTTGGACAACGAATTCAGGATCTTTGACCAAGGACGAGAACGTCAAAAAGTGCTAATTATTATATATTGTTTGTTATATTACTTAATCATCGAGAAATTATTTTCGTAGGTTGCGAGTGTAGTTTGCGAGATATGTTGAAAAACGACGGTCTCTCCAAGAGAGATGAGAGAGGGGAAGTCTTTTTAAGAAAAGATTTTCAGAAATATAATATATATATATATATATATATATATAATTATATATGAAATTTGGGAAAAATTACTGTATTATATGATATTTTATTTTGCTTTCGCACATTTATAAAGTTACGAAATATCAGGTGCGTGTTGAAGAAACGGTCTAAAAATGAAAGAGAGAAAATAATAGGACAAAATGTGTAATTAAAACAAAATATGGCAATATAAAAAATATGGCAATATAAAAAAACAAGAAATTAACTAAGGAAAGGAATCGCATGAATTTCAATATTTTAAGATCTTAATCTTTAAATTATTATAACTTGCTATACGAATCGAGAGTGCCTTTATCATGGAAAGAATCGAGAAAATATATTTTCGAAAATTTACTTTTCAATTTCAGTATCAAAGTACATATATGACATAATCAGAAATGTCTTATCTCAAATGAATACAAAATGAATTTTTTTTAACAGTTCCTAGAATCATCTGCGTAGCTTAAAAATTTTTAAACTATAAATATTCGTGACAATCTTTACTATTATGACTTCCCGATAATTATGAAATTTTGTGTTTATAGAATCATATCATCATCTTTATCACAGTCGAAATTTTTTTCAGTAATCAAAGATACGATGATTGAGAATAGAAAAAAAACTGTGTCATCGCGTCACAAAAGTAATAATAAAACAAAAAAAATTTGATAAAACTCGATCGTGTCAGTAAGATAAAAGGGGGAGGGGGCGAAAAAGGCTCGAGCAATCTGCCATTAATTGTCCATCGTACAAAGGCACTCGACATCAACATCGACGTCGATATATCGGAGCGATATCGCGTCCGCGAAGGCTCGTGGCGGATGAGCGAGTACTATACTCAAGTTCGTTATAAAGTTTGCTAATAGTTATTGTCCCTTCGGCAACGTGCACGTCGTTGCCTGTCTCGTGTGCCGCTCGCAGCGGTGGCTTTTGTGCGCGACGGTCCTTGATTTCATCGCTTACCTTGCGCTCGCCGGGTATAACCCACATTGCCCGAGCCAGCACGTCGCCTCGAGCCAAGATCGATGATTATTCGACCGGGGAATCACCGTCGATAAATCGCTCGGCGCTCGATAGCAAGGGCAGCAATTAAAGTATCACCTACTTTTCAGGAGAGAGCGAGAGAAAATTTGAATATTACGTTGAGATATTATTTTTAATGCATATATGTCGAGAAATATTATTATTATTAATTATCAGGCAAGCTTGTGCAATGACGATTAATTTGATTTTTACGGTAAAACGACAAGAAGATTATTTTTCCCATGCGGTTAGCCGCGATCAATGCAATTTTGATAAAAAAATATAATTGAAGAATCATTTTTCTCTCATTATAAACACACAAAAGAGAAACAAAGACTATGAGAATATTCTTTCTTAATTTTAGGACTGTTCTTTTGATTTCTTGTACGAGTGGCTGTATTTTCCATATAATTCCCCGAATTTTTCTATAGCAGTTAGGGAAATAATAAACGGTCTATGCATAGAATATCTAAACACTATTACTTTCTATTCTAATTGTAATAAGTGATACGAGTAATTTCTCATTATTTGAAGAGATAGAAAAATGTTTTAAAAAATTATTTGTTAAATTTATTAAATATCAATTCTCTTTCGACTGAGTAAAAATATCAATAAATAATATTTCAATCGTAATGCAGTAATTGATATGACTTGTATGAATATCAATATTTGATATCTCCATATTTATATTTATATACCACGCAATATATAATTGACGTGTCTTTCTTGATTAGGGATAAACATGTTTTCTCCGGGTGTCTCATTCAATCTACTTCGATTACATAGACAGTGATAGTCTTAGATATTGCAGATGCGGACTATAGGCAGAAGATCAACATACTGCCCGCGAGTGTGTTCTTATCGCATCATTAGTCTTTAGATAACTAGAGAACTCTCTTTTGTGAGGAAATACATTCGATAGTTTGTAGTCTAGAAAAACGCTCGTTATTGCGTTCGAAACTTTTTGATAAACGAAACGACGACGTCCCATGGAATCACCGGTGCCAGTTTAATCGAGATAAAAATAAAAGATTGATCTCCCTTGAGATAAAAGATACTTTATTACATGTATCAAGAGGTGCCCATCGCGCGAATATCACCTACATATCGTAACCTCCCTCAATTTTCTCTGGATTTACTTTATATTAATGAATCAATTCCTCGATATAAAAATGTCATTTATAAATTACATTCGACACGTCGAAACCAGAACAAGCAATGTCGCTGCGCGACTCCTCTCTTTCCGAGAGAAGAATAAATTTTTCAAATTTATATACGACGAACAAAGAGCAACACAATATCTATATATACGCATAAATTATTCCCGCGCTTTCGAACGACTTAGCTTCTTCTGGTTTCAAGTTGGGAGTCGATGTACCTGCAGAGAAATGTTTTTGTATCCAATACGCGATATCCAGCTCGCGCAGGTCGCAAGTTTTTAGCATACGATCTGTAACTCATCTCGAGGATACTTCTTCAGTCAGCACATACTCCAGGTATATATACTTTCTTACGAGATCTATGTAAACAATATTGCAGCAGATCGGAAACGCGAGAGCGCGCGTTGTCATGTGCCGCATTCTCGTTTCTCGCAAGCGTGACTGAACAAACGAGCAAAACGTTGCAAGCGGCAACTGCAACTGCAGTTGTTGCTCGCGGAGACTGCGATGCCCCGAGGCTGATACGTCCATTAACAAATCATTTCGTTCGCGATATATGAATTTATCGCGCAATGCAACGTTGTTGCGCGCACATACAGCGAATAATTTTATATTAGTGTTGTCATCCCACGCTCTTGTTGATTAATTGATGGTTAATTTCAGCTGCGAGAAAGCTCGACGGCCATCAAAGATACAACATGCGCGCGCGCAAAAGAGAGAGAGGGAGAGAGAGGAGAGGTTTTATAAGAATGTTAAAAAAAAAAACCTTTAAAAAAAACTCTTTCTCTCTTGTGTTGACAGACTGTAAAAATTAATTAGGAAATTTTATGTAGAGCGTCTCGGTTATTTTTGTAATTTTCAAGTTGATTTTTCTTTGAACGAAAATTTCATTAAATGCCAGTTTTCCGCATATTGTTTTAACATTTTACATTAAAAAAATTAAAGAAGAAGGTTCAAAAGGAGCGTCCTTTCTTTATTATTTACAATTCGACAAATTACATATTAATGGCTTGATTTTTATTCAAGAAAAATAGACTCCAAATTGATCAAAGAATAGTCTGTCCGCAAAGAGACATCCCCCATTTCTTTCGGGACATCCTATACTTAATTCTCAAAATTGGGCGTAAAGGGTCGAAATTTCGTGCTTCGAGTGATTATCAAAGTTCGCGGAATGTTCTTTCGCGAAATCGGAACAATTCGCAAATTCCGCGCACGAGCCGCGCGACGCGGAATACGTAATGATTCGATGACACGGTGTGCCTCGCCTCGAGTCGAAATAATGCAGGGATGAGAGAGGGAGCGACACTTCAACTCCCCTACTGCTTGTGTCGATGCTGTGTAACCACCAGGGGAAAAATAAATAATCCGAGTACACGGTGCGCCGAAGGTAAATACAGATTCCGGCCGTTCGCGAAAAACTTTCTTGTCGCGTTCCTGTTAACAGGGGGTGGAGATGAGAGAGGGGCTTGTTAGGACTTTTCGGCGAGGACGTGACTCGCGCGAGTTCGATCCGAGATTCGGTGTGAAATTTCACGCGTGCGAAATATCCGGATGTCGTCAAATTTGTTTACCTCTCCGATTAGCTGAAAATGAAACCGTACGACTCGCTCCTCCTTTTCTTCAAGCGTTCAAGTTCGGCGTTTAAGATTGATCGGTCGATGGCAAAAAATTTCGCAGAAAAAAATTCAATTAACGTTTCACATTGTTTCTTCATCGATATCGAAGTAGCGCGATGCCGCGTCGAAAGTTGCAAATTTTTTTTTCAACTCGAAACGCCAAGGGCTATTGCCATCGTGAATGCATAACGAAAGTTAAGTATGCAATAATGATTAGCAGACATAACTGGTTTGCCGGCGAGCCTCGAAATAGGTCATACCCCGAGGGCATGCCATTTAGAGAGTGCTGCCTACCTTTAAACCCAGAACGAAACTAATTTCTGTCGGAAATTTCACGACAATATGCAATAGCGCGTTACGGAAGACGTATTGGAAATTTATCCGTGCACAAGCTGTATATTCACTTGTTTCCGATTATAACGATCCCCTGACGCATATTGATGTCGCAAAATCATTTCAAAGCTTAAGAAAAAAACATTTAAATATCGCATTACCTTAATGAGAGGCATTTCCTTGCCTTCATTTCTCTCTATAGCTCTTTACAATTTTTTTTATTTTTTATATCAGATTATTAAATTATATTTTAGTATTTAATATTAAATTTGTTTGTTTTTTTTTTCTTGAAAATATCTTTCACATTTTGTGTAAAACTTATTCTCTGAGGAAAGACTTCGTGACACTAATTTTCTGAGTATGAAAAGGAATTCAATTAATCATTTGAATTAAATATTGCGGTATTGATTTTTTTAAATTTATTCGGAAGTTCGATGTCTTGAATACAATTCGTCGGCGACGACAATTCGAGTCTTCGCAGATTCACCGATGCTGACGTCGGTATCGTTCGCATGCGCCGGGAGTAAAAACGAGAGAGAGAGAGAGAGGGAGGAAAGTACGAGGCAGGTGCGTCGATCATAAATAAGAGACACAGTGCTGCCGATGTTACAGTGCCGAAGAAACGAGATTGAAAATTTCGAATATGCGCTCTTCTCGCTCAATCGAAGCTTCTCGCGTCATTTTTTCAAAAGACGCTTCCTAAATTCACTCTTCCATCACTTTCCTCAATCTTTCTATTTTTTTTGTTCAATTTGTATGTCTGAAAATCTGTCGAAAAATATATCTTATCGGTAGATGTATTTATATTCCGGCAATCGCGTTCGGATGCGGCTTTCCCCGCGTAAGTTTCACCGTGTCGTGAATAAAACATGGAGCGCGGACCAGGCCGAGGACGAGCACGCGCTTGCAATGAGCCGTGCGTGTCGCGTGTTTTAACAACGCATTCGGATTGTAATGTACGCATCCCTATCGAGCCGGATCCACTGGTTTTACCCTGTCGTCGTTGACGATTAACGGTGCCATAAGCGTGTCACGTCGAATTTAAATGC